CTCGTAGAATGAATTTGGAAGTTCTCCCTCTTTTTTTATTTCCTGAAGTAGCTTGAAAAGTATTGGTATTAGTTCCTCTTTAAAGGTTTTGTAAAACTCTGCTGTATACCCATCCGGTCCTGGGCTTTTCTTAGTTGGTAGTCTTTTGATGGTTTCTTCTATTTCCTCAATTGATATTGGTCTGTTTAGGTTGTCTATATCCTCCTGACTCAATCTGGGCAGATCATATGACTTAAGAAATTTATCGATGCCTTCACTATCTTCTAATTTATTGGAGTATAAGGATTCAAAATAATTTCTGATTATCTTCTGTATTTCTGAAGTATCTGTTGTGATATTGCCTTTTTCATCCCGTATGCTAGTAATTTGAGTTCTCTCTCTTCTTCTCTTCGTTAGCATGGCTAAGGGTCTGTCGATTTTATTTATTTTTTCAAAGAACCAACTTTTAGTTTTGTCAAGTTTTTTCAATTGTTTCTTTTGTTTCGATTTCATTAATTTCAGCTCTGATTTTAATTATTTCTTGCCTTCTACTTCTTTTGCTGTTGTTTTGCTCTTCTTTTTCTAGGATTTTGAGATGAAGTATGAGATCATTTATTTGTTGTTTTTTTCTTTTTTTAAGGAATGAACTCCAAGCAATGAATTTTCCTCTTAGAACTGCTTTCAATGTGTCCCATAGATTCCGATATGTTGTGTCTGTGTTTTCATTTATCTCTAAGAATTTTTTAATTTCCTCCTTGATGTCTTCTATAACCCATTGATCATTCAGTAACCTATTGTTCATTCTCCAAGTGATGTATGATTTTTCCTTCCTTCTTTTATCGTTGATTTTCAGTTTCATTCCATTATGATCAGAGAAGATGCATGGTATTATCTCTACTCCTTTATATTGTCTAAGAGTTGCCCTGTGACATAATATATGATCTATTTTTGAGAAGGATCCATGTGCTGCTGAGAAAAAAAGTGTAACTGCTTGATGTTGGGTGGTATATTCTATATATGTCAATTAAGTCTAGGTTATTAATTGTGTTATTGAGTTCTATAGTTTCCTTATTCAACTTTTGTTTGGAAGATCTGTCCAGTGGTGAGAGAGGTGTGATTATTGTATGGTGGTCATTAGCCATGCTAATGAATAGACCACCATGATTATTGTATGGTGGTCTATTAGACTCTTGAACTTGAGAAGAGTTTGTTTGATGAACATAGCTGCACCATTGTTTGGGGCATATATATTTATGATTGTTATGTCTTGTTGGTGTATGGTTCCCTTGAGCAGTATGTAGTGTCCTTCTTTATCCCTTTTGATTAACTTTGGCTTGAAATCTATTTTATTTGATATGAGTATGGACACTCCTGCTTGTTTCCAAAGTCCATATGAGTGATATGATTTTTCCCAACCTTTCACCTACAGCCTATGTATGTCTTTTCCTATCAAATTCGTCTCCTGTAGGCAGCATATTGTTGGGTCTTGTTTTGTGATCCATTCGACTAGCCTGTGTCTCTTAATTGGTGAGTTTAAGCCATTAACATTTAGGGTTATTATTGAGATATGGGTTGTTCTTCCAGCCATATTTGTTTATTTATGTTACTAAACATGGTTTGTTTTCCTCTTTGATTATTTTTCCCCCCTTTACTGTCCTACCTCCCACTGTTGGTTTTCATTGTTATTTTCCATTTCCTCTTCCTGTAATGTTTTGCGGAGGATGTTTTGAAGAGATCGTTTTCTATCTGCAATTCTTTTAACTTTTGTTTATCGTGGAAGGTTTTAATTTCATCTTCCATCCTGAAGCTTAATTTCGCTGGATACACAATTCTTGGTTGGAACCCATTTTCTTTCAGTGTTTGAAATATGTTATTCCAGGATCTTCTAGCTTTCAGAGTCTGTGTTGAAAGATCAGCTGTTATCCTGATTGGTTTACCCCTAAATGTAATCTGCTTCCTTTCTCTTGTAGCTTTTAAAATTCTCTCCTTATTCTGTATGTTGGGCATCTTCATTATAATGTGTCTAGGTGTGGATCTCTTATGATTTTGCACATTCGGCATCCTGTAGGCTTCTAGGATTTGGGATTCTGTCTCATTCTTCAAGTCTGGTAAGTTTTCTCGTATTATTTCATTGAATAGATTGCTCATTCCTTTGGTTTGAACCGCTATCCCTTCCTGTATCCCAATGACTCTTAAGTTTGGTCTCTTGATGTTATCCCATATTTCTTGGATGTTCTGCTCATGGTTTCTTAACAGTCTTGCTCAGCTGTCTATGTTCTTTTCAAGTTGAAATACTTTGTCTTCATTGTCTGATGTTCTATCTTCTAAGTGTTCTACTCTGCTGGTAGTATTCTCAATTGAGTTTTTAAGTTGGTTTATTGCTTCCTGCATTTCTAGGATTTCAGTTTGTTTGTTTTTTATAACCTCTATCTCTCTGTGTAGTTGATCTTTTGCTTCCTGGATTTGTTTGTGTAATTCATTGTCGAAGTGATCTTTCATTGTCTGATTTTGCTGTCTAATGTCTTCCTTGAGACTCCAGATCATCTGAAGCATGTATATCCTGAATTCTTTATCTGACATTCCATTTGCTGCAGCTGTTACCTCTTCTAAAGTTGAGTTGACCTGCATTGCTTGTGGTCCTTTCTTTCCTTGTCTTTTCATACTGCTTGCGTTTCTTTCTGCTTGGTGAAAGTGTTGTGTTTTTGAAAAATTTTCCGCCCTATATATTTATATTGCTCTTGTATAGTTCAAAAGTCTCTCTTGCAGGGTTGGGCGACGTTCTGCCTACCTTGCAGGCGTGGGTGGCGGCTCAGCTCTGCCCCTCCTCCAATTGGTGTGACGTGTCTACCACGCCAGCGGACCCCTGGGCCTATTCTGCCGGTCGGTCGCAGGTCTGCCTACCTTGCAGTCTCGGGCGGCGGCTCTGCTCTGCCCTTACTCAAATTGGGGTGACGTGTCTACCACGCCAGCGGGTCGCTGGGCTTATTCCGCGCGCAGGAGGCGGCTCTGCTCTGCCCCTACTCCAATTGGGGTGACGTGACTACTGCGCCTGAGGGCGGCTGGGCCTGTCCCGGGCACGGGTGAAAGATCTGCTCTGCCCCTACACCAACTGGGGTGACGTGTGTACCACGCCGGCAGGCCACCGGGCCTGATCCGCTGGTCGGTTGCAGGTCTGCCTACCTTGCAGGTGCGGGCGAAGGCTCTGCTCTGCTCCTACTCCAATTGGGGTGACGTGTCTGTCGCGCCGGCAGGCCACCGGGCCTGATCCGCTGGTTGGTCGCAGGTTTGCCTACCTTGCGGGCGCGGGTGGCGGCTGTGCTCTGTCCCTACTCCAATTGGGGTGTCGTGACTACCACGCCGGCAGGTTGCTGGGCCTGTTCCGGGCGCGGGCTGCGGCTCTGCTATGCCCCTACTCCAATTGGGGTGACGTGTGTACCATGCCGGCAGGCCGCTGGGCCTGATCTGCCGGTCTGTTGTAGGTCTGCCTACCTTGCAGGTGCGGGCGGCGGCTCTGCCCTGCCCCTCCTACCACGACTGCGGCCGCTGGGCCTGTTCTGCCGGTCAGTCGCAGGTCTGCCTACCATGCGGGCGCGGGTGGCGGCTCTGCTCTGCCGCTACTCCAATTGGGGTGACGTGACTACCATGCCGGCGGGCCGCTGGGCCTGTTCCAGGCGCGGGCGGCGGCTCTGCTCTGCCCCTCTGGCTTGATGACAAAGTGAGAGAGACTCGGGTGTTTGTGACTCACTTTCTTTACCAGGAGACCAACTGTTTCTGTCGCCGCTGGTATCGATGAAGTTCTCTCCTCCACCGCTTTCTGATGACATCAGATCTCTGCCATGTTGGTTTCCCATGCGAATGGCAGCATTTCGTTCCCTTTGCTGGGTGACCAAAGCAACGGGTGAGTCCTGACCGGCCCTCACAAGCCCCGTCTCAGTCCTGTTGCCACTGCCTATGAAGGCTCAGTTGGTATTTACCTCCACAGTATTCAGCAGGACCCGGATGAGAAGCAGTTTCCGTGGGTTCTTTATCCCTGGGCCAGAGCAGTTCCGGGAGCCGGAATTCGGCCGCTCCATGCTCGGTGTATTTTCTGATAGGAGCAGGCTCCAAGAAGCAGTTTCTGCGGGTTATTTAGCACTGAGCCTGAGTAATTTGTCTGCAAGCCGCAGGCGAATGGCAGCCTGAAATTACCTGCTCTATGGCTGAATGAGCTGTGATCAGTCGAAAACAGGGATGGTGACGTCAGCTCTCCAAGATGGTGGCCGCTGGCTTCCTCTGTGGTCTGACCGGTGTGGAGAACCGAATTGGACCGCTTCCTTCCCCCGTCTCAAACCCAGAATTCAGCACTGAGTACGGTGATTGCACAGCTGGCAGAAGCCTGTGGAAACTGCAGCGCTGTATCTTTGCATTGCTATCTCCTCGTTTCCCAGCGCGCGCCGCAGACTCTAGCCGCGGGGCAATTTGCTGAATAAGCAGCGTGACCCTCCGTGGGGACAAATCTCTCGCGTTTGAGCCCCCGTAGCTGATCCTCCTGCGATGGAAATCCTTCCTCTAGGTTTTGGAGCACCCCAATTTTGCTGGAAATTCCTAACAAGATAGCTTTTAGCATTTCTAACTCGTCATTCTCCCGCACAGTGACGCGGTACACGGGGGTAATGCACTCCCTTCGCCGCCATCTCTTTAATTTTTTTTCTTGATAGTTTCTAACATCACACACAACATAAAAACTGTTAACAAAGGGGGAAAAACATTTCGAACACTCCTAATACCAAGGTTCTGATATTCAACAATTATTCATTCATCCATTTAAAACTTATTTGAGCACTTATTATATGCTATGGTAAAAATACAAACCTTTTGAAAAATTTTAAATGTGTCTATTCAAAAGAGCTTTAAAAATAAACACAATTGCATCCTCCACTATACTTTATCAAAACATTAAACTTAGCTGAATCCTAGCAGGTATTTGTATTTTCTGCTGTTTCAGTTACCCTAAAAAAAGGGGGAGTTAGCAGTTGTTTTACCTGTCCTCATGACTTCCAGTACGAACATCCTTCATGGCAGCAAATCCGCAAGGCACTCTAGCATACTTATTTAAATTTTCAATAAGTGTTTTCCCTACTTCAAGGTAGTAAGGATCTCCTGTAGCCTATTAAAAAGGAGAATATATATATATATACACACATATATATATAGCTTATATATTACCCATTCATTTATCAAATATTTATTGAGTACTTCCTGGTGCCAGGCACTGTATCAGGCACTGTGATGCATGTTACACAGAACCTAAATCTGAAAATAAACCATGGATCTGCCTCACAGAATTTCTTAAACAATTGAAAATCTGCTCAATTGCAAACTTTAGCATTTAGATTAAATTTCTAATGCCCCAAAAGGTTTCCAGAGACACATGCTTTAGAAAGCAGCTCTAGAAAACCCAAATTCTCTTGAAAGAATTGTTTGGCTAAATATGTTGAAAAGGCATAAAATGTACACATAAAATCTTATATCTTTCAATAAATTTATGGGCTAGAAGAGTATAAATGGTGATATATCCAACCATTATAACATTAAATGTCAATTTCTATTATAAAAGAGTGAGAGATCCAACAGGGAATGGGGCTAAAAAGCAAAGAAAGGTAAAATATCTTACTTTATATAAGAAGTAGGTACTTTCTGCAAATTCTGGCCTTAAAGGATGTTGAGCCCAATGTACCCTGAAATCTGTAGTAAATGCCTGAAAAAAAACATAAAATGTGATTAAAAGAATGAGCAGGCAGTTCTAGAATATAAAGTGGCATATATTAACAGATAAAAGTAATTAAAATATCAATCATATATTTTCATTTATAAAACATAATTTTTCACTCCTAAAATCACAATTAATTTTTACCAAGGCTACTCTTTTTATCAATTAAATGGATTACTCTGCAAATAGCCATTTGAGCTCTTAGGAAATCAAGAAAACTCAGTAAAAAAGTGATGAAATTCAGTAACTCTAATACATGAATCCTGATGGTTTATATAATTGCATTTTCTTTTTTTCCTTTTCCCACCATTTCCTCTTTTATTTTTGGTACTGGGGATTAAACTCAGGGGCATTCAACCACTGAGCCACATCCCCAGCCCTATTTATTTTTTTTTTTAATTTTTTAATTGTAGTTGGACACAATACTTTTATTTTTTATTTATTTTTATGTGGTGCTGAGGATCGAACCCAAGGCCCTGCACGTGCTAGGCAAGCACGCTACCACTGAGCCCCAGCCTCAGCCCCCAGCCATATTTTGTATTTTATTTAGAGACAGGATCTCACTGAGTTGCTTAGTGCCTTGCTTTGAACTCATGACCCTCCTGCTTCAGCCTCCTGAGCCGCTGGGATTACAGGTATGCACCACTGCGCCCAGCTTGACCATTCCCTCTTAATTATCACTTACCTAGTTCTCATAATTCCTTTTAAATTTCTGTAACTGACAAATAAAAACCACATGTGGTACACAATATGATGTTTTGATATATGTGTATACATTGTGGAATGGTTAAATCAAGCATTTCCTAAACATTTTTTTTTGTGTGATGAGAAACATTTAAAATCTACTTTCATAGCTATTTTCAAGTATACATATTTCTATCTTAACATTATTTTAGTATATATTTTCTTTTCTAACAACCTCAAATCATTTGTGGAAGGGGACAAAGGAATTGATCAAAAATAAATCTTACTCTATTTGAAATTTAAATCTCTCAATAAGAGAGCCACCTGTTTAAAAAAGAAAGAGGAAACCAAAATCTTTATAGGAATCAAACAAAAATTTATGTGATAGATGTATTTGTTGAAACCTCATTTTATTCTTCCTGAATATGAACTTTCTCCATTGCCATGTCCTACTTACCTGAAGTTAATAAAACAATACTCTGTAAAACAAATGTATCAGGGAGCATTCTGAGTTAGTGGAATGCTTAGAACTCTCACAGAGAGTAAATAATCAGGGACAGAACAAGGCCATCACATTTGGAAATTTGTAAAGGTACATTTCTGGAAAGCCAAAAGGCATGCTATTAAAATCTTGTCATATAGATCTAGTAAGAATACTTATTATTAATATAATGTTAAAATTAAAAAAAAAAAAAGAGTAATTCACAGCCAGTATGAGCAAGGCCAGATATTCTCCAAATTTCCAGGAAGCATGTGTGACCAACAAAAGTACACTTAATGTAAACAGGCATTAAACAAATCTTAGAAAATAAAAGACGACAGGATCTCCCTAGCAGGTAGGTACAGATGGAAAGTTAAAATGAGAGACTTAGTTTTCTCCTGTGTCTAGGGTGCTGAGGATACAACTTAGTGGTAGACAGCCTAGCATGTGTGAGGCCCTGGATTCAATCGCTAACACCATAGGAAAAAAAAATTGACAATATTGCAATGGCATGGGTTAGAAAGGTTGACAAACACTATGTTGGAATTTCTTTTTTTTTTTTACAAAAAAATAATATAATAACGGCATTATCCAAAAATTAAGCTGCTCACTTTGATACATGAAGAAAAGCAAAAACAGGGGCTGGGGTTGTGGCTCAGTGGTAGATGCTCGCCTAGCATACACAAGGCACTGGGTTCAATCTGCAGCACCACATAAATGTAAAATAAAGATACTGTGTCCACCTAAAACTAAAAAATAAATATTAAAAAAAAGAAAACATATAATGTTACATAAACAACAAAAAACCTATTTAACCAGGGGAAAATTAATTAAAAAGAGCAAACATGTTGCAAACATGTTATGAAGATGTCATTTTTTTTTAATTAGCAATTTACAGTATATATGTGAGAATTTCAAAGATTACTTGCTTACCTCTGGTAGAAAATTGTGTTTTTTAATAACTTGATATAGCATTTCATGAGTTTCAATAGCAGGTCTAATATCCCCCTTTAAAACCTAGAAGTCAAAAACCACAAAATGACCCAATAAAATATGAGTTAATTTTATGTATAGTCATTTTACAAATGGATCTGAGTATATTAAGACAACTTTGGAAAGGGACTATATTTTGTCATTCAATTTTAGAGATCATAAATGTACTTAATTAAAATCATTTCATTTTAATATCAACAAAATGTACTAGGAGAAGAAAAGTGAGGAATGGTGGAATGAATCTGACCTTTCTTCTGCACATACATGACTATACCACAGTGAATTTTCATCTTTATGCACACCTATAATGCAATGATTTAAAAAAACTATAAATAAGTAGAAGAAAGATCAAGGGAGTGAAGGAAACAGGGGGAAGTAATGGGGACTGAATCGGAACAAATTATATTCCATGCTTATATAATGTCAAAATGAACCCTAACATTATGTATAACTATAATGAATTTAAGAAGAAGAAGAAAATGACCTCTCCATACCTGTAAGCCTGGAAAAAAGGCAAGCAAAGCATCCATCCAAGTCCGAGCATTCAGCATTGGTTTGTGGATATGCACATCAAGTAGAAGAGGGGGCTGGCTGATGTACCTCATTATGGCATCATAGTGCTAAGAGATTATAATAATGTGTTCATTAAAGTAGACTGAAAAACACATGCTACCCTAAATATACTAAATAGTGCAGTCAAGAAATTAAGCCTGAATTTATGTTCATAAATAAATTCACATCTGTTAACTGTGGAAATACTTGAATTATTTTAGATGGAATTTTTTCTGAAACATATTCTCCCTTATGTCCTTTAAGTCAGATGCAGAATACTAAGGACTGTATTTAATATGAGATTCTTAGAGGAATAAATCCAAACATCCCTACCTCCTTTGGGGATCAGCCTGTGGTTAGCATGCCTTTGCAGCCCAATGATGCTCTTAGCTCTCTTGGAATACAGTCACAGGCTTCTATGTTACAGACTTAGTTTTCTTCTGTGTCTAGGAAGTTTGGTGCATTCTCAGCTAACTGGTGCTCACGACTACTGAAGTTAACATAACATCACTGTTCCTACTCTTATGGTCTCCTATCTTTGCTTTTTACACTCTTAGCAACTCTTTTTCTCCTTCTTTTGTCTTCTCCTTGATATTTCTCAGCTTTCTAAAGAGGACAAGCTCTGTTAATGAGCCAACAAAAGGTTATCTGTCCAAATTCACCTCAAGAAAAATCTTACTGTAATCTAACAAAGAATATATGTGATACTATTTTTAAAGCATTCAACTTTGCTAGCTTGTCTACTCTTTGCTAATCACTATTACTAAGTACCTGCCACATGTTAAGGCACTTCTAATCCCTTTATGTATATGTATGTTTATTTAATCCTCCCAATAGCCATATAAATAGTATTAATACTTGCATTTCATAAATGAGAAATAAAGGCCAACAGGTTTATTAAACTTGCCCAAAGTCACAAAACTAACAGGCGGTACAATCAAGATTTAAAGCAGGATGGCTCTCATACTTTTACCCTCTTACTGTCTCACATATGTAATGTGGGTGAACTGATGGGGTGGATAAAAAAAAGAAAGAAAGAAAGAAAAAAGGTAAAAATTATGCTTAAAAAAACATAATGATATAGCCTATGAGTCTGCCATATTAATTTCAGTTTGCTTCACTTACAAAGGCAATGCAATTGAGCTCAACAATCACCCCACTCCCCCAAAATTATGACTGTGGTGCTGATTCAGTCCTGACACTTATAGACCTGCTTCTGAAATGCACTGTCATTAGTTTCTCCAAATTCTGCTCTATTTGGTATCATCAAGGACTAAGCCAAACTTTCAAGATTCAAATAAAATTGGATTCCAAAGGAAAAAGCTAACTGTAACTTATTCCAATAACTGTCTTCCTTGCACAAAAGATTAGGTAAAACTCAAATCTACATATTTTATTACTTATTGGCAAATCTAGAAAATTTCTGATAAAAGATTAAAAAACAAAACTACTATGTAAGTTAATTTTTTGAAATGTATGTAGCTTTTACACTGTCTCTGACTAATATCATCATGAAATTCTGACAAAAAACTACCAAACATTTAAAAACAAATTATTTTTTAGACTGCAACTCAGGCAATTGAGTTTCTATCAAAATCTTAACTCAAATGAAATTGGCTATAAAATTAATACAAAATTTGATCAACTTACTGTATTAAATCTTTCCAGAAAACTGTCATCTCCAAGCAAGACATAGGCTTTCAAGAGATACTCATAATATGAATCAATCCCTGCTCCAACTCCACTATCTATAGAAAATACATATAAATGATCCTTCATTAAACAAGTCTTAAAAATTCTTTATAGAGTACAAATGAGGGTACGAGTATATCAAAAATTAGTCTAAACACGAAATTGTTTAAAGTAAAAATTATACATTTACAGAAATATTAACCCTACTATATAAATAATAGTACCCTTGTTGATAATAGTTGTTTTTTCTTTTAAAATCACTTTGTAAAATTGTTTACAAAGGGCTTATTTAAGAGCAAGAGATATTAGAAAAGACATATGGAAGATGGAATAGAAACAACAGTGATTTAGATAACAGGAATCACAAAGAAATAAAGGTGAAAAGGATAAAATACCTAAAAAACTAACTATCAATTTTTAGCAATTAAAGATTTTAAAAGAAAGGGCCCACATAATATAGAAAGGAAAGATACAGAGGAAAACCTATACCTAAAATTATAGTAATTCTTTTCAAAATTTCTCCTTGTCTTTGATATTCATACTCCTTCAGAAAGAAAGAGAAGACCACATACAAAGGCACTGAAATAAAAATGATATCACTTTGTGTGTATGTGTGTGTGCGTGTGGTACTAGGGATGGAACCCAGGGCCTTGCACACACTAGGCAAGTGCACTACCACTAAGCTGCATCCCCAGCACTTGCTGTCATATTTTAAAAACTGGTTTAAGAAGACAAGAGAGTGCTCACTTTAGCAGCACCTATACTAAAATTGGATCATGAAGTGTTTCATGTATTTAATTAACAATATTTCAGTTTTCCCAATTCTTTGTGTATACAGTATTAAACAAAGTGCTTCTAAATGAAAGAATAATAAACATTTCAATCCCAGTTTAAAAAAAAAGACAAAAGAGTTGTATTTTCAAAACTTCACTCAAACATGAAAGCACAATAAAGATATTGTTAGGCATAATCCCTCAGCAGTTATTAAACACAGAGTTTAGGTTGAAATGCAATTATCCCTTGGTATGTGCAGAAGACTGGTTTCAGGACTCCTGGTAGATACCAAATCCAAGGATGCCCAAGTACCTTACATAAATCGGTGTAGTATTTACATACAACTTATGCCCATCCTCCCATTTACTTTAAATTGTCTTTAGATTACTTATAATACCTAATGTGATATAAATATTAAGAAAATGGTTATTATACCATATTGTTTAGAGAATGATGACAAGAATAATAAGACTTTACATGTTTCGTACAGATACAATTTTTTTCTAGATATTTTCAATTCACAATTGGTTGAATCTGCGAAGGCAGAATGAACAGATACGGAAAGCTGACTCTACTTTTTGTTTTTTTGGGGGGTATGGGGATTGAACTCGGGGTCACTCACCACTGAGTGACATCCCCAGTCCTATTTTATATTTTATTTAGAGACAGAATTTCACTGAATTGCTTAGGGCCTTGCTTTTGCTGAGGCTGGCTTTGCACTCCTGATACTCCTGCCTCAGCTTCGGATTACAGGCCTGCGCCAACATGCCCAGCCTGTCTCTACTTAAATAAGAAGAGAGACAAACCCAGATGTTGATAGGGAGAGAGAAAGAGAGAACTCTAAGACTAAAAGAAAAAAAGAGACAAAGGGATGGGAGAATATACTAAAGTTTATGTTTTCAGGAGGCAAATGCAGGCATCAATAAAAAACAAAAGGATTCAAATGAAAAATATTAAAGGGACATACTGAAATAATATTAACATAGTATAAAGAATGTTGAAATATATTAAAATATCAAATATATAAATGGACTAAAATTAATAATTACGAGACAAAGACAAAACAGATTTAAAGATATATATTTTAACAAAGACACACTTATAGCATAAATACCTGCAAAGACTGAACATAAAAGAATGGAAAAAGACTTATTAGGCAAATGCTATGCAAGATAAAGCTGATGTAGTTACTACCAGACAAAATACACTTTCAGACAGAGCATTATTAGAAATGGACAGGGTCACTACATAATGTTAAAAGGTTTAATTAAGAAGAGAAAGCAATTTAAAATGAATGCACTCAACAGAATATGTAAAGCAAAATCCAAAACTATAAAAAGAGCATTGTTGGAAATTTACCTAATTTTCTTAATGATTAATAGATCAAGCAAACAGAAAATCACTAGGATGTACACAATATTATTAGTAACCGAGCAAACTAACATACATAGGGTTCTAATCTGACAACTGGAAAAATTACAATTTCTCTTAAGCATATGTGGAACATTTATAAAAACTGACTATGTTCTAGGCCAAAAAGAATACTTCAACAAGTTTCAAAGGATAGGTGTCACACAGACCATAAACATCATACATGTAGCATACAGACCACTGAACTGTAACTATTATAAAATTTTTAAAAATATCTCCCTATATTTGTAAAGTGGAAAACACTGCTAAAAATTCTAAGAAAGTAGAAATCTGTGAGAAGCAGTTTTACCTGTCATTACAAACACAAATCAACTCCAGATGGCTTAAGAATTTCAATGTCAATAATAAAACTTAAAAACTTCTAATACTTAAATATCTTATGGACCTCTGATTAGTAAGAGAGTCTAAACAAGACAAAAAAGTATTGATCATAAAATCACAGATTGATAAGTACAACTATATTAAAAATTTAAAAGAACGTAAAGTCAAAGTTGTGAATCATAAACTGGAAGAAGATATATGTGATACACACAACTGACAAAGAATTAGTATTAAGAATATATAAAAAACTTTTACAAATAATTCTTTTACAAAAGCACACACGAACCCAAAAGAAATGGAAAAAGTACAAGACCACACAATTTAAAAAATAAGGAAACATACATGACCAATAAATATGAAGTATTCAGCATCATTAGTGATCAAGAAAGGATGTTATTTAGAAACTCATTTGTATGGCAAATACTTTAAAATCTAACAATATACAATATACAATGTTGGAGGGCATGTCAATTCACAGGTAATCTTATAGTATAAAGTGATGAAATAACTGTGAAAAACATTTGGACATTATCTCCTGAAGCTGAACATTAACTTATCTTCTGACTTAAAAATTCCACTCCATGGCCAAGAGAAACTCTTAAGACATGTACAACTGGAGTAAACAACAAAAATATTCACAACACTATTGCTCACAATAGCAAAATTCTACAAGCAAATGCCCATGATGGATTTAGTAATTCAATAAATTATCAAACAGCAATTAAAAAATTATAACTCCATGCAACAATATGCATGAATCTGAGTAATGTAATATTAAGTGAAAAAAGTCTCATAGGGGCATCAAATATGACATCCTTTAATAAAATTTAAAATAAAACAAACTACACATTTTTAAGAATACATGTAGATTTAATAAAATTTAATTAAATGGAAATTAAGAGAACAATCAACATAAAGATGATGACTACTTCATGTGGAAGGAGGCAAAGGTGTGGAGTTACAAAAGTGGGGAGAATCAAGGACCATGTACAATAGTATATTATCAAGTTGCTGTTGTAATGGTTCATTAGTGAGTATTTATTGTAAAAAAATGATTAAATAAAATGGGTCATGTATGGACCAATGATTAGAGTGTAATGTCATAAGTCAAGAATTATGACCAATTCAAAATTAATTATGATTAATTAATTTATACAAGAGGCCTAAAGTAGGTTTAAAAAAAAAAAGGAGAAAAAAATGCAGAATTTTGAAGCCTATATTCAGTTTCTTTCAGAAACCATTCAGATAAAACTTAGGAAAATTTTTATGATACTGAAAAGATAATAGTTTTATTTTAATGTTTAATAAACAATTATATAACATAATTTTACTTATTTAAATATAGGCAATTGTTTCTTATTTTATACAGAAACAAGATAAGCCCCGTGGAACATATCGAATTATATAAAAAAAGATAATCTCATTAGGAACATTCTAGTATATTTCCATTCTTTGATGTTTATTTTATAGGGGCATTTTTTTCATTTAATTTTATTTTCTTATTGATGTATCTCATCTATACATAATGGTGGGTTTCATTGTTACATATCTGCATATACATAAAAACACAATTTGCTTAATTTCACCACCAAATACACCCCACCCTTCCTTCCTTCCCCCACCTCCACTCTAATGGTTATCCTTCTAATTCCATGGCATTATAGGGCTGTTTCATAAATATAAAATTATATTCTTTATACAATCATATCCTATGTGTTCATATAACATTGCAATGTTTATTTCCTTACTTCTAATTCATTTTAGTAACTTAATAGTTCAACATTCATATAAAATAATTTTCTTAGCTATTCTTTTTTCCAGTGTTAAAAATAACTATATGATGAACACCTTTGGGGACAATTTTCTATAGTTTTTATTATGCTAAATTAAAGAAGTAAAATTATTGATCAAATTATTAATTAATTTAATTAATAAAAATATTAATGAGCACTTCATAGTAAATGTAGTGTGCCAAGGAGGCACTGTTCTAAATGCTTTACATTAACTCATTTAATCCTCACAATCAGTCCGTAAAGTGCTGTTATTATCCCCATTTTACAGATATGGGGATGTTAATATGGAGAGGCACACAGAAATTAAACAACTTGCCTCTGATTATACAGCCTCAATTCCAAAAATATGACTCCAGAGTCCATGTTCTTAGCTACTAGGCTACACTTTATTTCCAGAGGTAGGAAAAAAACCCATGAAGGACTGATAACATTAAATATGCCCACTAAGCTATACCTTGATGTGAGATGGCTGAGGTATCCAGATCCTGTAGTCCTCAAATAAATTAATTCTAGTGTTTCATCTATACCCTATACCTACAATGCCATACCTATAAAGGCATGAAACAGAAATTATACAAAGATTATGTGAAAAAATGAAATCCTTTATTTCCCAACTATTATGAGGACATGAAGGTTTGAATTTTAAAAGCCCAAGTTACATACCTTTCCGCACCCAATCTCCAGTATGAATATTGATAGTCACACCCACTAAATTACTACTTCGCTGTCTTTTTTCCCATAGAAAATCAAGAGCTTTTCTTGCATATTCCTAAAATTTAAAAAGAAAAGCAAACTTGAAGAACTGCATGCCTTTGGAAAAAAGGAAACAAACAAAAATCAAAGGCCCACAGGATATTTTAAGAATTAAGTAAAATTCTTAAGCTAACCATTTATAATATAAACGTCTTTGAAGTCATTTCTTGGCTCTTTTTCAGTCAGTCTATTTAAGGACTCCGAAAATGCTTTTTAGTGGCAGTGATCCCACTTTGAGATCACCCATTTTCATTTAAACTTATAGTACACCTTTACAACACACATGTATCATTAAATTATATTAATGGCTGGCATATTAAATGCACTTGTTAATATAATTTCTGTCACTTAAATGATCTAAGGAGTATCTAACCTCCTTAGATTCTTTATTGGAAGAGAATTTTAAAGTTGGAATGCTATCTTTGAAAGAGTCATTTCAGAACCTCTCTCTTTGTGGGGGAAGGAAGTACTGTGGATTGAACCCAGGGGTGTTCTACCAATGAGCTACATCCCTATCCCTTTTTATTTTGAGACAGGGTCTTGCCAAATTACCCAGGCTGGGTTCCAACTTGAAATTCTCCTCCCTCTGCCTGGATTAGAGGTGTGTACCACAGTGCTCTGCTAGATCCTACTTTAAACAACACATGACATCATTAGTAAAAAGTTAGTAAATTAACTAGGTTTCTGAATATTTATTTGGTGTTATCAAACTTACAACCTTATGACAACTTTTTATGTTTTCATTTTTAGCTACTGAATATGAAATTAAAATGATTTCTGATTAAATTCTTAGTGTGGGATAAAAATGTTAGAAAATATAAAAGCAAAGGGCATGTATAGGTGAAGTTAATTTCAGAACAGAAGCCTAATAGAAGTACCACTATAAAAGAAAAAAATCATTAAACCAATCTGCCACTTTGTATATTTAAGAATAGAGTGTAAAGCAGGGTGTGGTGGCTCATGACTGTTAATCCCGGCGGCTTGGGAGGCTGAGGCAAGAAGAATGCAAGTTCAAAGCCAACCTCAGCAACTTAATGAGGCCTTAAGCAACTTAGTGAGACCCTGTCTCACTACAAAATAGGCTGGGGATGTGGCTCAGTGGTAGAGAGTCCCTGGGTTCAATTCCCAGTCCAAAACAACAACAACAACAAAAAGACCCAGTGAAATAGAAAACTTAAAACCAAAATTTAAAATGGAACTCTAGGACACTAATACAAGAACTCAGACCTTTTCATAGGTTAGACCAAGGTTGGCAAACTTTTTCTGACAAGGGCTTGACAGTAATTATTTCAGGCATTATATGCCATGTTGTCACTGATCAAAATTCTCAACTGTTACTGTAACACAAAGCAGTCATAGGCCAAAATAATTAAGCATGACTGTGTTCTAATAAAACTTTTTTTTTTAAATACAAAAATAGAGAGGGTTGGGCATATAGCTCAGTGGTAGAGCAATTGGTGAGCATGTGCTAGACTCTGGATTCAATCTCGAATATCATTACTTTAAAAAAAAAAGCAGGTAGTGGCTAGATTTGGTCCACAGACCAGTTTACCTATTATATCAATGCTCTGTCCATCAATTGCATCAGGTTGCTTCTCTGAAAATCAATTACTGTATACTCAAGAAGTTTTTTAAAAAATCATGATTTTCAATAGATTTAGTTATAAACACAAACAAGCCCAGTGGAAAGAGTATGAACTTTGAATTCAGAAAGAGATGGATTCTAATTCCAGCTGCATTCATTCACCCACTAGCTCTATAGATCTCTTATCCTCTCTTAGCCTTATTTTCCTCACCTTTAAATTCATCAACATCTCTGAGTTTGTGGCTCATATTTAAAAGTATGCAATAGTATTTATACTTTTTAATGAAGGTAAAACATTAATCAACAAGGTATGGAATAAGATTTTAAAAGATTACCTGTTCCACCATGATAAACGTGTCCTTAAGACATCTGAACATACAGACACACACATACACAAAAAGATCATTTCACTTGTTTTATTTATAGTCTGATCCAATGTCTATAATGCTGGTATGCATTTCTTATTTCTGTTTTGTCCATGTGTACCATTTGCTGAATTTTCAAAAACTCACCTAAGTCATATGTTTGAAAAAGAGGGTGCTTTATGTAACTACTGCACTCCAGTGACAGGCTTACATAATTAGCTTTTCAAAAAGAGAGAGAGACAGAGACACAGACATAGCTACACCACAACAAACTATGTGGATGTTAAGTCTTCTAGATAATAAGTAATATTTCCCTTGGAGTAAATACATTTATGGATCAGACTCTCAATCATGACTTAAATGCAAAAACTTCACTATGGTTTTAGCAGAGTAGTGAAGGTTTCCGAAATGCAACTGACTGTTCAGAAGTCTAACAAAACAGACATAGTACTTCATATAAGACATTTGTATTAAGGAGCCATGAAATATTTTTTAAAAAATATTTTTTAGTTGTTGATGGACCTTTATTTTATTTGCTTATTTATATGTGGTGTTAGGAATTGAACCAAGTACCTCACATGCGAGGCAAGCGCTCTGCTGCTGAGCTACAACTCCAGCCCAAGGAGCCATGAAATATTTATATAATATAGCTAAACAATCTTCTAAGAACAAAACTAAACTTTTACTTTGTAGTTTGTGAACAAAATACAGAGTGATATTTAACATAATTGCTTCGCAATGACTTTGATGTTTTCAACAATTAAAAACTATGTAATAGAATTAGATGAAAAGTTCATCAAAATAACAGTTATCCTCCAACTGATAATCTTAAAACTTAACCAAAGGAAAACAAATATGAAAAGAGCTATGCCCAATACCCAGGAGATCAAAGACCATGAAAAGCAAACCTCAAATATTGTTGCTCCTGTGAATCGACTTAAAGCAGCAAACTCAAGGATCAAGGTACCTGCACATGCTGTACAGGTATCTGTCTCAGTTCCCGTGCGAGCTTCCGGTTTTCTGATGCCAAACTTTAAATTGATCTATTATAGAACCAGAAGACTATAATTAGCAACTATCAAGAGATATTAGATTTTTTGATAAGAAATTACCTTTTTATCAAATCATGAAAAATAATTCATGAAATAACTGATCACTGAGATTTACTCTGATGAGCTTTGTGACTTTCCAATTAATATCTAAGGAAACACATTCTAAGCACATAATATTCATGTGCCATTTTCTACAAAATTAGCAAGAAGGATTCAATCTTTCTTTTATTTTATTTTTTAGCTTATGGGAATCCTATTGTTGACATTTGGTTTAGAAGCTGGTAGGCTCCTGTCCTCTTGACTAGGCCTCCAGTGCCTGATATAGAGCAGGCACTGGTAATGGTGTCCATTTATTAGTGTAGATGTTAGAAACAAAAAGCTTATTGCCCTACTTACTTGAAGGCTTAAGACAAAAAGATATAAAAGTATTAATAAACTTTTATATTTAGAAGGACTCTGAACCTGGTTCTTCCTGATCTTGAGTTCCTGAAAAATCACAAAGTGGTTTTTAAAAAGGATACTTTTTTATCGAAAAGTAAAACAATAAATTACCTACACTAAATTTATCTATATTATCTCTTTGCTATCCTGGAAAATCCTTAAAACACGTACAAATCATAACAGAATTTCTATTAACCCTGTATTTTAGGACATGATCATTACTCGACCTTAGGAGTAAGACCTTATCTGAAAAGTGGACAAGTTGCTTTCAATTAACTTTAAAGAAATGGCAATATGTAGTGTGGATAAGCTTTAAAGGTCAGTTTAAAAAATGTCCAGTAGCTCTTACAACAGCATTTCTGTCTAGCAAATTCTTTTGATTTAAAAACAGTAACACAAATTTTATCAATTATGTATGATATCTAAGACAGAATGGTTACACAAATTTTCACAGGCAAAAGCAGTTACTTACTAAGTATGTAGAAGGAAGGATAGAAAGACATTTTCTTCTGTAGTCTCTTTTTTTAAAAAAGTTTAAAAAATCTTCTTGAGATTTCAAAGGATAAGAAAATGTTACTTTGTTTACTATAATGCTCATGGTATCTTCTATTGCAATTCCATGCTTGCTTTTCATAGTATGGTAAAAGTAAAGAAATGCTCGATTCCTCAAAATACAGCACCTCTATTTAGAACAAAAACTAAAAATATTCACTAAAAATAAACTTAATTAAGTAAATATCTATATATTGTTAAAAAATAGTTTAAAATTGCTTCTAATTTTAATAAGTTGAAAGTGAATCAACAAAAAAAATTTAAATAATAAGCATATAGATTCACATTAAAGAGATTCTATTTTTTTCTCATTAAATTGGTAAAAAAAAAATGATAACATACAGTGTTGGCCCCAGCACCATGGCACATGCACTTTTATGTAAAACTGAAAAGGTACAGAAGAAACTTTCCGGGAAGCAATTGGGCAATTAAGTAATTCCTCTTCTAGTAATTTAGCTTAAAGAAAAAATAAAAAATGTAGTCTTTTTTTTTTAACAGATTTAAGAATGTTTTTACACATGTAAGAATGTTCACAGGAAAACCTATTTAAAATATCAAAAACTGGAAACTTAAATTGAGGCTTATTTCTAGGCTTTTTCATTAAAGAAAAAAGTGCTGATCTTAACCCACTAAAATTAAAGGATAAGTAATGGGATGTGTACTCCAATTTGAAAAGCACTAGCTTTTAACATGCTATATGTCTACCTAGTCAAAGATGGCTTTTTTTTTTTTTTTTTTTTTGTGGGGTGGGTACTAGGGAATTAACTCAGGAACACCAAGTCCTATTTAGTATTTTATTTAGAGACAGGGTCTCACTAAATTGCTTGGCACTCACTTTTGTTACAAAGATAATTTCTTGATGGAGAAAACAGCCTTACTGATTTATACTGATAGAGAAGTAACGCCAAGTAATAGATAAAGTAGGCCTAAAAATATGGACTGAAAAAAAAAAACCCAGGCATTTCAGGGGAACCTAGACTGCTTTGGTTGAGGTGGAAAAATGATTCCACTGGGGTATGGTACTATAAGAGAATGCAAAAAAAGTCTACAGTCTAAATATGAAGAATTCTAAATGATAAAGAACACTTAATACAATAGGGAACGATGAATGAGCAAAACTTTTAAGTTATGCTTTAGTAATATTAATTTTTCAAGTGCTCTGGATCATAAACCAGAGAGAAAAGAGTAGGATAGGTATTTATAGAAGTTTAGGGAAAAAATTTATTTGTTTCAACAGTATAGCTGCAATAAGAAAAGTAAAAAAGTGATAGAGCTTGGTAATGCCTGAGGTATCTGACTTTGATAAAAGGAAGAAAATAACAGTGCTAATAAAGAATGAAAAAAATCAGAAGAGACAGCTCTTTCCATCTTCAATGACCTCCTTCCCCCTGCTTTAAATAAAAAATTCTCTCAGAGGAAAAATCAAATAAAAAAATTCCCACAATGACTCTATTGCCAGCATTCCTTTAACTACCAACACAGAAGAAACCCCCAAATAAGTGGTCCACATGTACTTTCTACCTACTTTGGATTCGTCTTTCCCCTTTAATTTACCCTACTACAACCTTCAAGGTTCTGTTTGCACTCGATTCTCCTCAAGTTTTCTAGGATGGTGTGTGTGTGTGTGTGTGTTACTAGGAATTTAACCAAGGGTGCTTCACACATGCCAGGTGAGTACTCTACCACTCAGTCCCCCACCTTTTTTTTTTTTTTTTGAGGCCCTGTATTACTAATTTGCCCAGAATGGCCTTGAACCTGGGATCCTCCTGGCTCAGCCTCCCAAGTAGCATTATCTGAGATTATAGGAGTGTTGCCATCATGATTGGTGAACATCTCCTTTACAAGTTCCCATTTTTGGATTTTATAATACTATTCATATTTATATATTTATAATACTATTCACCAGCTCTACCTCCTCCTCATTCCTCTGTCTGTCCCCTCTTCTCTCTGAATCTTTTCCTTCGGAGAATAATATCTACCTGCTCTCAGTGCTTTGACCATAACTTCAGCACAAACAATTCTGGCTCAAGGTTTAGTCTAGCATATATTTCTTCCTTCTGCAGCATAATCCAAATTGTTATACAGAGACACAGCAAAGCTTAAACTAATCTAATTCTCACATCACTCAAATGTAAGTTAATTGAAATGTCAATATAAATTTGTTATATAGCTTTGAAGCATTTTTTTTCCAGTGCTAATAAAGAATGAAACCATTGAGAAACAATGGCTCTGATCAAAAAAAACATTTAAATGTTTTGTAAAACAACAAAGGAAGTATACAAAGACTGTTATACATATTTAGAATTACTTACTCTTGGGTAAGGAAGGCCACTGGTAGTATTGAAAGCTGGTAAAAGTTTGTAACCCAATTGCTTTGCCATTTGCAGAAGTTCATCATTGTACCACTGCATGTATTCACCTTTTTCTTTCAGCATGATTGCCAGTGAGTGTCCACCCAAAAGACCCCTGTGATCACAGAGATGAAATATTATCCACCTCTTACAGACACTTAAACATACCACCTAAAAATGTGTGAGCATTTTGTTATCAACAAGTAAGCCTAAGTAAGGAAAGACCATAGAAGTCCTTAATTCTTTACTGGCTACTTATGTTATGGCAAACTATTAGAATTACATAGCCAACATCAGATATTCTATGTTATTGTAAAGTGTTTGGCATTTTTAAATACACTAAATTTTCTTAAAACAAAGAACATCCTAACATCTAACAAATGTGACAAATTAATCTTAACAAATTGCAAACTTAAAAATTTATCACCATAACATTTTAAAAATAAAAACCTTCTACTCCAGTAAGTGTAAAAGATTCATAAACTCTGAAAAGCTACATTACCACTCATATTTAATTGAAGAGCAGACTTATTTGAACAAAAGGAAATGAGGTACAATAATATAAAAGTAATTATTAAGTGTAAAAATTAATTAATGTTGAAATGAATGACTAAATCTTATAATTACACATTTTAAAAAAATTTTTTAGTTGTATGTGAACACAATATCTTTATTTTTATTTGTTTATTTTTATGTGGTGCTGAGGATCGAACCCAGGGCCTCACGCATGCGAGGCAAGCGCTCCACCACTGAGCTACAACCACAGCCCATAATTACATACTTTTAAGCACCCCAGGATCATTTCACATTGTTTAGTTGAAAGGCAATCCTATAAATTTGAATTAATTTGGCTTTGTTGAGAGGTGCATGGCTAAGGTTAACCAACTATGGAAGCTAGTGAATAAACCTGTGACATAGCTAATATGACCTATGTCCAACCTACTGTTGCTTTTTACATAGGGAATACCTCTGATGTGCAGCCTCCACTCCAAAACCAGCTGCTGTCTGTGACCAATATAAAGCAAGGTTTTCCTAACTCTGTGGGACAATACTCCAGTTTTTTAACATAAGAAACTACTTCCTTACCTTTGATCCATAAGCAATTTACCCTAAGCTTCTCAATTACTAAAATTAAAGCATTGGTGGCTTAAGTACTCACCCCAGAACTCTGATGTTTGTTTCAAAGACAGAAACAACGACATCATTATCTAAATTAACATCTCTTAAAACTTTTCTCACAGCTTCCTCAAATTCTTTAGTTTTATTTAATACCTAGGAGAAGAAAATTACAAAATGAAGTTCTTTTCTACAAAGTCAAGGACAAATATTTTCAGAATGAGCTACTAAAAGCAACTTAGAATACTTTAAAATGCAAAAAAGTGGCATATATAAAAATTAATATTTCCCTTAAGTGTATTATAAAAATGTGATATCTCAAACTAAAAAAAATTAAATGCCTAATTACATAGCCTCTTTATACCTTTCTTTTTTAGACATACTGAATGAAGTATCTTTTTTTTTTTTTTTAGTTGTAGTTGGATACAATACCTTTATTTATTTATTTATTTTAATATGGTGCTGAGGATCAAACCCAGGGCCTCCTACATGCTAGGCAAGCGCTCTACTACTGAGCCACAACCCCAGCCCCATACTGAAGCATCTTTAAAACTTTAAAACAATCATTAGCAAAACTGATACTAGTTTCTTAGTACATGTTGGGCATCTCTAAGCCAAAAATTGGAAATCTGAGCATTTTTGAGTTTTCAAGGTTATATTGGCATTACTCAAAATGTTTCTGATTTTGGATCATTTCAGATTTTTGGGTTAGGGATCCAAAAAAGTAAAGGCTATTACAGCACACCAAAATACAAAAACTGAAATCTCTAACACTTCTGGTCCCATGTATTTCAGGAAACCACCAACCCTCATAAATATGTGTGTTTCTTTCTCTCTCTCTCTCTCTCTCTCCCCCCCCACCCCCACATACACACATGAAAAACCTATGACCTCATGAGGTGAACTTTACTAGGATTGGTTTCCAAGTCAAAACCAAACAAACCACCCATCCTATATACCAAACACCATCTTAAACAACAGTTTACTCTCAGAAGAAAGTGCTTTCTTTAACTGACTGATCCTAAGCGGACACCTGCCATCTTTATCCCATGGTCGTCCTGTTCATTAAGGAAGCTGTGTAATAATACAGCTCATAGGCTCTCAGCACCAAGAAAAAAGCAGGCCCTGATCAGTATTCTGGTTCTTTCACTTACTACCTGCGATCCAAGTCAAGTTCCTTTAACCTCTGAGCCTCTTCCTTCACCTAGAAAAAGAAGAAATGCCTACTGCTACGGTTGCTTTCTTAAATGAGATAATGTGTATCAACTGCTTTTAGCAGAGTGTCTGAATACTAAGTCTTAACATCAAGTGTCTAACCTCATTACTATTATCACCACGTAGGTCTAGAATTCTGATTAAACAACTCTGTGGATTCTTGCATGAGCTCTATCACATGGCTCACTGTTATTATACAGGCTGTTTTGATCTTTCAGTCTAAATTAAGGCTGCACGACTAGATGTTATTTAGAGACTAGACGCATTAGAAGTGTTCTTCCTTCACTTGACTGTTCAATATTTTTGTTTTAGAGTTGTTTTTTTTTTTTTAACTTGACCTGATACTTTCACAAAAAATTCTAATTCAGGTTTAAGACATTCCATAAGATTATGTGCCTAATTTCAAGTAAAAGTAAATCAGAGGCAAGTTCTAAGTACTAAGTTCTAAGTCTTTTCAATCTCAAAACCCATGTAAACTCTGCAGCAATAAAAGTAGATGCAAATGGTCCTGGTCCCCTCACTTGTGGAATGAAACACAACAGTTCTACCCTCCCCACCCTCCAAACACATATATTTTAGTATCCAGTTTTTAATCTCATCTCACCTTCTCCCTAATCTATCTCCTGAGGTTTTTTTTTCTGTCACTCTTCTTACAAATTTCCTTCCACATGTGTTCTCTAACTGAATAACTTTTCCCCCTTCTCTCCAATATCAAACTAACCAACAATAGTACCAATATCATGTGTTTCAAATGAGAATAAAAGGGGACAGAGAGTTACCTCTGTATATAATTAGCTACAAAATTTGTTTTAAAACAGCTCCAATCGTTTCTTAATCTTCTAGCTGATAACAAAAGAACAATCCAGATCTCATCCTTTCCCCCATGAACTTTAATCTGTTTCAATTTTTTTCTACAGATTTCATGGTAATGTTGAATTTAAAGGTACCCATAACATTTCACTGCTTGACTCTATGACAATCAATAGAAACTAGATACCTGGTATTTTGAATAGTTTAAATTTGAAGATCAAATTATGGCAATAGAAATTCTACTTAACATATTATGGTATGACAAAAATAAAAATGGTAGAGCTGTATACACTGTTACAATGATATATCCTATTAATATTTTCAAATTGTTAAATCACCAAATGAAAAATTAATCACAGAATAAATGCAAAGTCAATCAGAAATATTACTACTTGTATTGACAAATGTATAATATAGCATTCCTTCTAAATATAGCAAAACATTTCAAAGTACTTTAATTTCCTCTAATTTTTTGTTTAAATTCAGAAGAAAATATTTAATAAAAATTCAAAATAAATTCATATATTTCAAAGCTTTAATACTATGTAATAAGTTAAAGTTTAATACTATGTAATAAGTTATTCCCTCTTGAAAAGACTGAAATTTAAAGATTTCATGTAGTAAGTTTTTAAGTGTTTATCAGACTTTACTGATTTTTGTGCTTGACTCCTCTTAGACAGCTTCAACAACCAAGCATTACTTATCTAACTATAAACCAAAGATCAGCGAGAAGTAATATAGCTACTAGGGACCAGCACCTATTCTAGACCCTTTTGTAGTAAAAACAGGGGTCCACAGAAATTAAATAATTTGGCCAAGTATCACTTCTTGTTACTCCCTGCTACTCAGAGCGAGGACACAACTTACAGCACAATCTTGTTACACCACACACTTTGGTGTGGCCTACTGGATCAGAGTTCACATGTTAGCAAGATTCCTAAGCAACCTACAGTACATTCAAGCTTAAAAATTACTGCATACATCAGAATCATCTGGAAACTTGTTTATGTGCTGGGCCTCTCTCCCAGTTTCTGATTCAGTATGTCTGCAATACAGCCAGAGAATTTGTATTTCTACCTAGATCTCAGGTAATGCTGATGCTACTGGCCCAGGGATCTTATTTTGAGAACCAATGCCAAAATGTGTAACCTTTGTTAATCCTGAAGGATATAACCTTCATAATAATTAATGGCTTCCCCATTAGAGAGGCCAACAGATTTCTAAATGTAGGAAAAGTTATGCATCCTGAAACTACTTTTTCTCCTTCATTTCTGATATTTTAGAAAACTCATATGTTGAGTCAGTGTTCATGAAAATCAACTAATAACTTAGAGAAATGATGAAAAACTTGCTACATAGAGAAATAAAGCTGAGACAAATAATGAGAAACAAATTTAAGCACTCCTATGGTCTTTCCCAATGCAAAGCTTTTGCTCTTCACCTACTCCCCAAAGTAGACCTGATATGTAACAGGTACAAATAAAAATTACCTATACCTGTACAGGTACAGTTAGCAATAAGCTATTTTATGCTGAACACCCAGGACAACTAAACCAAAAATTAGGCATCAAGTAGGAGAAATGAAAAAAATGCACATTCTATTTTTCATAGATATTATAATGGGGCTTACACATTCCATTAGTCTCTTAAACAAATGAAGTTCAAAACTCTGACCCAGTTAAGAAGATCTAAACAACCACATTTTTCTCAACCATTGACACATTTTAAAACTGAAGAGACTCAACTACTATGTAGAACTATAAAGCTCTAATAGAAAATTTTTTAAAAGAGGAAAAAATAAACAGTAATACCCAGCGTCACCCAGAATAATTAAATCAGAATAACTTAAGCAGGGATTCCCCCACCCCCACAGGTGATCTTTGTAGGTTGCTATTAGAACTGAGAATCTTTGTTCTAAAAATAAAATATGCCTTGGTAAAAAAAAGAATATTGAAACTATCCAGAAGCAAAGTTTGGTTCTGAAAAATTTCTGCTACCTTGAAGATATTTTTGTCTTGTTTTGTTTTTTGAATACTAATAAGCACTTGGGACATCAACATCAGGCCTAAAGAAAATCCTTAAAAGAGATTACTTTTATACTATAAGATCTAAAAGAAAGACACTACTTGAAATCATAACATCTGGAACTCAATCTTTCCCCTTTGTGATTTCAAATAGTTCTACATCATATGAGCTTGAAGAGAGCCAAGAAGTTATTACTGCTAAAAATTACTGTTCAGAAAATAAACTTGTTTATGAACATAATGTAAAAATATTCTAGTTAACAATTTCAGTGTTATTGTGGCATATCATTATGAAACAAGAATATCAATGACATTTGCCAAAAGTATTTTCTTCTAATAGCTTCAACCCAACTTAAAAAGGCTAGGAGGGGGCTGGGGTTGTGGCACAGTGACAGCGATTTGCCTAGCATATGTGAGGCATCGGGTTCAATTCTCAACACCGCATATAAATAAATAAATAAAACAAAGTTTCATCAACACACACAAAAAAAAAAAGGCTAGGAGAACCTCCCTAAGATGTCATCACATAAAGTGACAGCCCTATAAATTATTTGGGTATTTCTATTATTCTGCATAAATTTACTTGACATTCACTTGACACCATTAACTCTACAGTGATTTATTTAGAAGCAAACATCTGCACATCTTAAATTCTGAAGGCTTTTATTTTATACTGTATTGATTATATTTATAATACTTGAGTGTGTATATTATATCCAAAAAGAATCAAACGTACCACAAGAGTGTCCAAAGAATCAATCAGTGTCAGGGAAAATCTGAGAAACAAGTATAATGAGACACAAAACATTAGCATTGTAAGTATTTTATTCACAAAGTATAAACAGACATACCCACATCCTATTACTGGTAGCTTCTATTAACTAGTACTTCCATATATCTATGTTGCAATACAACATAAAAAGCACTGAATGAATCTGAAAAGTCTTAACATTCTACACATCTTTGAAGATATACACAGACATTTATTAGTGATTTTAAAAACAAATGAAGATATAAAAGTAACAACACTTTATAATGTTAATATGCATATAGCTTTAACAAACTAATTTTTCTCCAATCTAAGAGGTAAATTGATCAATTTTTTTTTTAACAAAGACAATAGAAAGGAACAAAAGTATTTAATGTAATACTTAAAAGTGATTTTCAAAATTTAGCAAATTCCTGGAAGTTAGATTGCAAACTGCCTCTAAGGAGCCTATGACATGGGACTGCGAATGCTAGGCCAGGCCTTGCACTCTACTCACTTTCCCAAGGCATCATCCACATCGCCCCGACTTGGCTCCTGGCCTCTCACTCGACCTCTACAGGTTAAAGGCATGAGTTCATCAGCTGGGTAAGCATGTTCCTGCAAAAGAAAACTTACTAAGTCACTAAGGAAGATAAGAGAAAGTACAAAATCATTTAGCAAATGTGACTTTTTCATGGTTAAAAAAAAAAAAAAAAAAAGGAAGATGAGATTTAGTCAAGAGTTGTACAATCTTTAGAGTCTGGAAAATTATTATTAGTAATTTTATAATTACTAATGTAACACCTGCTTGAAAAAAAGTCAAACAATACAAAGAACATTCCTTTAAAAAGCTGATAACCAGGGCTGGGGGTGTAGCTCATTGGTAGAGCATTTGCTTAGCATGTGTGAGGTCCTAGGTTCAAACCCCAGTGTCCCAAACAAAACAAAACTAAACAAAAAACCTATCCAAATAAAAACTCCCCACACAATCTGATTTCCCTCCACTAATCTCATTCCCCAGAGGCTACTACTGTTAAGACTGGCATTTAGGGTTAGGGTTGTGGCTTAGAGGTGCCTAGCACGCTTGCCTAGCATGCTTGAGGGACTTGGGTTCAATTCTCAACACCACATAAAAATGAAGATATTGTGTCCACCTACAACTAAAAAATAAATGTTAAAAGACTAGCATTTATCTTCCAGATTTATCCATACACATTCAAATGTATGTACATATATAATAATTTTTATTTATATACAGGTGCTATGCCACATGCATATACTACTTTAAAATTTGTTCAATTGAATCACAGTAAGGTTCCCCCCCATGCTAGAATACTATGGATATACTTCATTCTAATAACTGCAAAGTAATAATTTAATATTAGCTAATATTCACTGAGCACTTACATTCTAAGCACTATTCTATACATTTTAATAATTTAATTATCATAACAACCCTCTGCAATAGACTCAACTCCATTTCACAGCTGAGAAAATTGGGGCCTAGAGAAATTAAAGAAGCCTAGGCCATGCAGGTAGTAAATGAAGGATCCAGAATTCAAAGCAAGGTAATCTGAATCCAGAACCTATGTATGGTTCCTGCTCCTCAGAGTATTCCACAGTACAGACATGCCAATTTATTTATATCTTCATTGATGAATATGTAGGTTGATTTCACATTTTCAGTATACAAACAATGCTGCAATGTGCACAAGGCCTTGGGTTCAATCTCTAGCACCATCAAAAACAAATAACAAAAAAACCAATGCTGTAATGTGCATCTGCCTCTTATACATATGCTAGAATTTCTGTGAATTACTTGAAAACAACCCGCTGAGTCAAGGGCATATTAATTTTTTAGTATTCCCTTTCTTGTTCTAATAGTCATAATTAATTTTTTATATTATCAAACCAATGGCATCAATTTACAATTTATTATATTCTAACATAGGAGATAATCAATGCTTTATATTTTGCCAATCTGGATTAAAAAACTGTAATCTCAAATTTCAGTTTTAATAAGGATAAGCATCTTTTTGTTTTTATTAGTCATTGCTACTACCTTTTTGAAATGTTTGTTTATACCTTTTTTTTCCATTTTTCTGGTTTATGGGGGGTGCAAAAGAGACTTATTATGTTTGTTATATATAGTAAATATTTTTCTCCTGTCTTTTGTCTTTTAATTTTTTTTTATGGTGTTTTCACATCAAGCTATAAATATACAGTCTCTTCCTTTTCAGGCATACTTTATAAGACTACCCTAGGCCTCTGAAAATAGTACTCTTACAATTGTATATTTTTTTTCTTACATTTAAATATCTACCTAGAATCTACTTTGTGTTTATAATGTGAAATAGGGAATTTAACAGCATTAGCACCCCCAACAGCCAATTTTATAAATGCACTTAAAAAAAAAATTCATTCCCACAATGATTTTTCTGCTGCAATAAATTATTAAAATGTACAGAAATTCACTGCCCACAAACACACATTTTTGTAGTCTCTATTCTGTTCTGTGGACATATTTGCCTATCCCAAAACCATTATCTTAATTATTCTATCTTTGCACCATACTTTCTCACATTGATTCTAGATAATTTTAAAATTTCCTTCATATGCTAAAGTTTTAATTAGAAGAACCTAATCTGGGAGAACTGATGTCTTTACTAACTGATTCTTCCTATCTAGGAATATATTACCATATTTATTCACAATTTTATGAATTCAGTTCTTACATATTTTTTATTAAGAGCATATTTGGTTCTGACTTTTTTTTTTTTTTTTTGGTACCAGGGATTGAACTCAGGGGCACTCAACAACTGAACCATATCCCCAGCCCAATTTTGTATTTTATTAGGAGACAGGGTCTCACTGAGTTGCTTAATGCCTTCCTTTTGCTGAGGATGGATTTGAACTCTTGATCCTCCTGTCTCAGCCTCCCGAGCTGCTGGGATTACAGGCATGAGCCACCGTGCCTAGCTTCTCACATATTTTTATTAGAGCACTATAATATATATATATATATAAAATATATAGTGCGTACATACATTTCTAATATTTTGGATTACTGAGATTTTTTTTTTAGAGAGAGAGAGAGAAAATATGAATAAATTTTAATATTTATTTTTTAGTTTTCGGAGGACACAACATCTTTGTTTGTATGTGGTGCTGAGGATCGAACCCGGGCCGCACGCATGCCAGGCGTGCGCACTACCGCTTGAGCCACATCCCCAGCCCTGAGATTTTTTTTTAAAAGAATGACATGACAGTTCATTTTCAGTTTAGATGCTGATAAAGTACATGCAAAAATCTTTTTTCCTACCTACTATAAACACAAGCTGAGCTTGAAAATAAAGAAATTTTTAAGTACCAAAAGTAAATAGTGGATTATAGAAAATAAAGCTGCATGACTACAACATAAGCACTAGGAATAAAGAGGCTTTAGTGGGAATCACAGTAATGCCCAAAGGGCACCAGAGTTGATGCTGCTGGCCCTGCACATGTGGCTATAGCCAGGACCAGGCTCTCTAAGTTGGCTAGCTGCTTCTATGAAACTGGACTGAAATATTTCCTACCTTCTAGTCACAGAATTAATAGAAAAGGAAAGAAACAAGAAACACCTGCTGAACTTTATATTTTCTTCACCAAGAGAGAGTCATAAAAGATTTTCCCTAAGATTAATACAATATCAGAAGCATTTAGAGGTTAGAAACATTGTGTTAACTTCATGTTTCAATTTTAGAAAACATTTATTAACTTCCTGCCAAGAAAATAATTGGATTACCATACTCTTACTTTTTCCCACTTAATATAGCACTTTTGTCAGCTATGTTATCATAGGCAGTCTTCTCTTGTGGTCTCACTTTGCATAATTTTCTACCACTACAACTTAAACATCCAAGAACATGGTTGTAACTGCATAAAATACAAATTTTGATGCTAGTTCTTTAGCCCACAAATCACTACATAAATAACAGATGTTTATCCTAATTGGCAATCAACTGTATTACTTCCTTCAATGTCAGTCAGTAACTGATCACTCTGTATATTCATATCCAAGTCCTTAAGTTCACACACAGACAGCAAGGATGTGGTGTGCTGACTTCTTGTCATTCAGTGATAATCATCCTATGTGACAGTTTACAAACTGGATAATAAAAGAGAATTAGTCAACAAAGATGAAAGCTCAGGAAAGAAAAAGAAAAAAGAAAAATGGAATGTTGGAAGTGAAATTCAAATTGAACATAAATGGGTTTAGAGAAAAAATGGCTGACCCTGGAAATGTTAACACTGCACCATTCAAGAAACATATGCAGCCAGAGAAACTTAGTGAAAGCCAAGTTATCAACATAACTTAAGAAAGTGGTTGGGAAAGGATGAAGACATCACAGAGAAGTGAGGCCTGCAAAAGCCTTCTTATTGAAGGAAGTCCAGGAACATTTCTTGACACTAAAAGAGCAAAGGATAAAATGTCAGAAGTGGATCCAAACTTAAAAGCAGTGTGAAAATTCATCAAGTATAGAAAAGATGCTTGCTCCTATCCTAAGTGATACAGTGAGAAGCCACAGGCAAGGAAGTGCTGTTCAAACTGCTTTTAATGAGTGTTTTACAAAGAAAAACAACTTACTTTTCAATATTTTTAAATATTTTTAATTGTGGTATACCAAATATCATTTTGCTATTTTTTCCATTTCTCTCTAAATTTATAAGCATCAGAAACAGACTTTTTAATGTTTTGACAAAGATTTTTCGAGGCTTATAACATTTGAATTCTAGTGTGGAACCTCAATTCCCAATATTGCTAGTGTTAGAGCCCTTCTACATGAGGGGAGTCAATTACACCATTTCTCTATGGACTCTCCATTCTTGAGGTTGTAGTTTTGACTTCTCCTAGTTGCCCAGTGTCCTCAGGTAGTTTATTCATATTAGCTTATTTTAAATATTGTTCTAGTTTTCCTGGGACAACAATCTGAATGGATGCTTGAGGCAGCTTTCCTTCAGAAATTGGAAGATACATCTCCACACCCTTCATATATTCACTGAGTACTGCTGTGGCAAAGTTTCCAAGAGCAGTCCAATCTTTTTGTACACTGTACGTAACTTGTTTTTATTACGCGAATGCCCATGAGTTTTCATTCTTAAATTTCAGCAAGAATGGTTCCAATTACATGTCTAACTTTCTCCTACTGCCTCTCACTCAACTGAATTATCTAGATTCTAAACTCATGGTACATTAAGCAAAAGAAAAATAGAGACCAGGAACATTACACATACAGTCAATAGAAAGGCAAAGACAAAAACCAAAATTAACCAACCAAACAAAACACTCAAAACTTTTAAAACTGGCTGAAGAATACGAAAAAGAAAAAGCATCGAAGCCTAAAACCTCTTCAAGTATTCATAAAAATTGAGTGCTCTATGATTCATTCCCTGAGGAAAGGATTTCAGGCAACAGATGTTTTGATATAATTAGAATCCATATACAGCTACCAAATTCTGAATTCAATACAGTACTCAGTAATTTTTTCAGCATAAATCCCTAATTACTTTTACATGTGTTTTTTCACATGTCAAATTCCTAATTACTTTTTCAGGTGTCAATTCCAATAGAACTGATT